AGTATATTCGATCATAAATGTATAACAATAAAGGATAATTTATATAATTATATTGATATATAACTGCTTTAACTAATATTTATGAATGTAAAATGAATGTTATTAATTATTATTATAACTGTGTTATAACTTTATAAGTTACAACTCAAAACTGGTAAATTGTGTGAGTGAAAAATCGTAACGAATAGCAAAATTACTATAAGCATAAATATATAAACTTTAAATATATTTAACCTATATAGATATATCGTGTGCAAACCTGCAATTATTGCGTGACCAGTGAATTACACCATTTATACTGTAGTTATGATGATGAAATTCCACTCTATCACACGATATATCGTGGCTGCTATAAGGCATTAGAAAGAGTAATTTATTTTTCTAAATTTTAAAGTAACATAATAATTCATTTTAATTGTTCAACATAAGTGCTTTCGTCTATCTAGGGTTTTCGAATTAAACTTTATGTTTAATCAATGTATGGTTATATAAACTATTTCTGTTAATATTGTATAGATAGGTACATTGAAAAACATAATTTCCAAAAAATAACGATGTATTTATTTAGCTTCTTATTTCCATTGACCACCTGCGATACAGGTACTTAGTACACCTCTAGTACGATTGTATAGTAATAAATATAAATCATATATCATATATTTTTATATGATATTACCTGATTGAGATTTGAGATACTTCTTCTTCGTCTCCACAGGTGAACGAATGGTGTGGTCTTCGAGATTTTCGATAGGGAAAGGCCTTGGCCTTAAAGTGAAAACCAAGTCCTAGTGAAACGCCACCCTGCGAAGTAACGGTACTATAAAACGACACCCGAATATTATTGTTTTCAAATGAACGCGAAGGCGTGATATGCGACGGAATTACTATGTACAAAATAGAAAAAACTTGGACTGCGGTAGTCTATAATGATATCATGCACTAGATCGCCGGCGTTCTGCAATGTACTCGACTGCACGCGCTAGACGACGGCACTCTTCAAGCCGGACACCCACCTCGTATACCACCCACCCACTCACCAACATAATATTGTATTAAATCGTTGTAGTGTTAGTGTATTAGCAGCATTGGTTTTAGTGGTAATGGTATTAGTGGTAGTGGTAGGCGTTTACACGGTAACATACTCGCCGGGTCAGTGTTTGTTGACCTTGCTGTTACTATGACGATGGCGCTTCCGCGCAAATCGCAGGGTTCGGTTCAACGAACCTCCGGCTCGACAGCGCGGCTTGTAGGAACGAGTCACCTGTACATCAATTGAGGGAGCTGCAAGTACGGCGGAGTCGCGGAGGTTTATAATGTATATTTATACATATATTATTTTTATACCTGTTTGTACTTTGTACACACGTGCCTTTATGAGCTGCAAAATATATCATACAATAGGTGCCTATCACCTATGTATTATAATATATAGACACCTGTCACCATACGACCATCTTCATATAGATATATATTGTAATAAACGATGCTATAGTTGTTATGAACGATGAATGAAAAAACTGCCCATACCTATTATTTATTACCTATAAATTATAATATAATATTCACAGCTAAATTATTATTATTATTATATATAATCGTACAACGAAATACAAGTAATAACTGCTCTGACGTAGTATGGTTTTTTTTTATTATTATTATATCTAATTTAATTGTGCGATATGACCCGAGGAATGACCGCCGGCAGGACAGCGACACCACCTACACCCCGTCACCCATACACGCTCTATCCCTTAATTCTACTACAGCGTGTTAGTACGGAAACAATTTGTAACGACCTTAAAACCAATTATACATATTATAGCTTTATAATTTTATCGTAGAGTTATTTTGCAAAAACGTTTGTTTTAAAATCATGTTTTCGATCACGTGACCGGTTACTAGCTAATGTAGTTATGTTCAGATGTATCGAGTACCTTACGCTTACCTAGCGGCTGGTTTCAAATGTCAAATCAATGGCAAACTTAATGATTTTTAAGTTTTATCTAATAGTTTTATAAGCATTCATTTTTATTAGCGCCTATACTTAGGTACGATATTTATATTCATATTTTGCTTTTTATTATGAATATTAATTAATATTTCAATAATCTATACATAATTTTATCGGTAGGTATATCGTATATGATATACAATTATAATTTATGATATCTATATAATATTATGTATTGTAAGATTTGCACAGATGTGATCGGCTGGATATCTGCTATAGCTCAATACTCGGGCAATGATTGTTACTTGTTCGATACTTCAAACGAACTCTATTATACTCTATACTGTATACCTATTATTTATATATATTTTTTTAATTCAACTAAAATGCATTATTTGAGGAAGACACTTATCCAGAGGCGYAAATCTAGGGTTGCAGGGAGGGGGGCGACTGCCCTCCTTCATTTGGTAGGTATAGGTGGTCAATTGATTGATACTCGATGGTCAATTTTCATACATAACAATTTACAATAAGCATACATCAATACACTTATATTATATTATATTTTTATTTGATACATTTTAATATTATTATTTATATGTAAGTGAGCACAGTGAAATTTTTTTCTAACAGGTAGGTATTGAATACTTTTGTTTTGCCACCCCATAATTTGAATTAGTTTGCGCCTCTGCACTTATCCATTGAATTTATTAATAATTATTGTTATTAGGGCTAAGATTTCTATGTATTCGTGATAGCGTATTTTCATTCTTTAGTCCAGTTACATTGATTGTCAATATTATGCCCGCGATTTGGCTCATATTAATCAYATTGAATTTAATCAATTAATTTTTTATCTATTTCTTTGAATATTTGAATCAAAAAGTCAAAAATGCATATACCTAATCTAATAATTGTATATTTAGAATGTTTGAATAGTTATTTTTAAAAGAAACTAAATTATGTAAAATTGTATATACCTGTAATTTATGTATAATGTATTATGTAAATATAACCATTTGTAACTTAATCGGTAATGGTATATATCGGTTATATCGAGTTAAAAGTTAAAATAGAAGATTTGCCATATTAAAACCTTGTATCATGAAATTATTATAAGTTATTCATGAATTGATTTACTTTTTATTAATCACTATATAGTATAACATGTGTTTACTACGCACTACACAGTARACTAAGTAAACTAAATGGAGTGTTTGTTGTATATTTTGTGCGTGACATTTGTTTAACGTTTATACAAATATTTCGAAGAATGRCTTAAGTTSAAACTGAAGGTGCTTATCTATATGAAGTGTTGTTGGACAGTGTCGGATCCGGGGCTTAATTTTGGGAGGGGCAAAAGTTCAAAACATTTTACAACTGTCGTAATATGCACTATGTTGTAGAAAGTCGTCACTGTAATATATACATAATATAGGTGGGAATATTTATTTTTGTAAATTGTTAAAGTAGGTCACGCCAATGAAGCAAGATGTGCTGAGGCATTAATATATTTTACTATATAACACGGCGGTCGAGTCCAGTCCGGGGGCGGCTGAGTGATTCGGCGAGCCCGAAGGTACGACACGCGACGGTTGTACGTGTGAAACGTCAATCGTAGTACGGGCTATATAGGCAATCTGAATTTGCCAAGTGACTTATTTATTTATGTTTGTTTTACATTTGAATAAAAGTGTTTCCGACCCAAAACCCGAGTTTACATTTTTTTAGTCATTCTTAAGTTCTTACCTTTCATAGGATCAGCGCCGGGATATACGTAGTACTGTGTGTCAATGAGGTTTTATTAAACTGAATAGTGCCAAGGTATATGTAATCTTTGAGTCATTTCACATTTTCACTAGATAGGAACGAACTAAGAATTGACAAGCGCATACCATCGTACCTCAAAGTTAACAGTGCCATTCTAATTAATTTTAGAGAGTGTTGTTAGCTAGAGAATACGAGAGTAAGGCGTATTATAGACTAAAGTTGTTTTACTTCGTATTATCCAATACTGGTGATACCACACAACATATACGCAATATTCTTAAGCAGTAAATGAACATTTCTTATTTTGATAGTGATGGAAAAGAGACAGACGGACAATGGATTATGGAGCAAAATGGTCAAGATTTGTATTGGTTTTTATTTTTGAGGAAAATGATCARAAAAGGATCCCARGATAGTGGACCGTCAGTGACCTACATATAAAAAAGTTTTGGGAGGTGTTTTTTAAAATCAGTTATGAAAAGTAGAAGATTTTTATTTTGCTTTAGTCTGTTTTTCATTAACACTAAACAATGTAATATTATACTTGTCTATTAAAGTATAATTTGACAATTAACATTAAAATAGAATACAAAAGTAAGTAACCATAAAAAAACCAAATATTTCGGAGCGTGTTTGAACACCAAGAACACCCCCCTGTGGACAATGATAAAGAAATACGTCATCTTGTTTTTGGTGGAAATTATCAAATAGCTAATTCTCTAAATTGTGTCTGTGAGTGTGTTGTACGTTATTACCCGTTGGTATATTRTTATCGCTCTAATGCATAATCTCTAATCTTTATTAACTTTGGTGCGATAGCGATTTATTAATAACACAGTCTTGAATACAACAATACACGACGTTTATAATGCTGTTACTGACACAGTGACACCTTCCAACCACCCAAGTAGCGAAGTCCGAGACCGAAGATTTACTTAATATTAGCTTAAACTCAGCTCTAAAATATTATTATTACCTATATCTCTATTGTGTAACTTTGCTGGATATTATAATTTATATTACAATATAAATTTATTATTTATTAACAACGATTAAAATATTATTATTTATTATTACTATTATTGCWATTATGACATAACATAATAATATTGTTATTATTAAAGTTTGTCTAAGGCCGTGGTTGCACTGGTGACTGGTCGCGCGACATAGTATCACTGTGATCATTTGGCCGATCAGTCATATTAATATATTATTATTTTAATCGCCACTTGTCCGTCGCGGCGTCGCCGGCTGTAGTGGCAGTAGTGCTGTCTGCCTGTCTGTTGAAGTTGAAGTGCCGTGCGACGCGCCATATCTGAAGACCGTTTTAAACTATTCGCTACTTTTTTTTATCATATTATACCGCGTCGGCGTGTTAGCTGGTACCTACTCGTGTTGCGCTAAACTTGTCTGTGGCCTGTGCTAGTGTAGACTTGTAGTCGCAGACTGCAGTGGTACCTACGTTTTTCGTTATCCTCCATGTTTGACCTGGTTGTTCCGATTGTCATTTCCCGTTTTGCACTCACCACGTTTTGACAACGYCAGCGACCGTTGCGAATCCAATCCACGTTTGACTGCTGACAGAACCTCGACAAGAATCCACCAACGCAATGGCRGATATGAATCCCAAGTGAGTGGTGGTTATTTTACTCGCTCATAACGACCGTTGGCCGACAGACTTATTGTTTGGTGCTGGCCGGYGGGTGGCGGTGGTGCGCGGCGTTTATCAGGCACGTGGCGTTGGAAATCATCTTTTCGATTTTTTATTTTTTCATCAGTCGTTTATTCTCAATCTTAATTCTACAGTAACTTACAACTCCAAATTATTTCTGTGACGACGCCGCCACCCCAGCACGGAGGTGTACCTATATCTTATGTCTTTGGTCGGTCGAAATGTTTAGKTAATTAATTGTTGATCAATTGTAAAGTAATAGCATACCTATAATTAGCGCCGGATAGAGGCTTTTCGGCCCACCGAGATTTTAAATTTCTACCAGCCCTCAACAAAGTATCGGTCCATTCGAAAAACATTTTTTTATGATCACTTATTTAGTATGTGTGCTTTAAATAATAATTGTTTCTCTAAAGCACATTTACAAATTAACCTATTCAATAGGTACATTACATTAAGTTACTTAGTATACTTCAGTTATATTATTAAAAAAAAACGCAAAATATAAGATAGATAATATAGATAATATAAAATATAATTTAGATCGCCTGGATTTATGCAATTTGTAAACATTTCATTTTATACTCATCAGTCACCACTCATGAGTCATGCCCTAAGCATGAGTAGTATGACGATTTTTAATCAATTTTTTATAGGTTACTATAAGTTTAAAATTTGATTTTCTTTTATATATACCTATAATATATTTATATAATTATATGACGTATATTGTATATAGATAAAAAACATATTATTATTTTAAATTATTCTAGTTTATATCAGTGTTTGATATAATACTGATCTTGAATTTTTACGCGGCCCACCGAGATTTTCTTGGTAGCTCACCTGTTCAATCTGGGCCTGCCTATAATGCAATATAAACATTTAAAAATAAAATTGAAAGAATGGTTAAGACGCTATACTCGCATGTGTTGTTTCAGTCTTACAAATGTAAAACATTGCTAAAACTGTTTTGCGCGGGAATGAACCACTCGAGCTATAGGTAATCCAAGCTAAGCAACCAAATGTTCACACTAAAAAGAGGAGAATATTTACTGTGCAACGTTGTCTTTAATTTTTCTATTTCACAAATTCAAAAAAAGTTCTTACTAAAGTTCTGACATTGAAAAAATATAAACTACTATGCACTTTAAATATTCTTCTCTCTATAGTGTGAAAATTTGGTTGCTTAGCTTGGATTACATCTTGAGTGGTTCTTTACCGCGCAAAACAGTTTTCATAATGTTTTACATTTGTAAGACGGAGACAACACATGTGGGTGTAGCATCCTCTTAAGTTTAGCTGGAATTATTGTCCAGGAATCGTACATTTTAATTTAGCCCCCCCGCCCAGCTATAGAAATGCATACAGTGTTTACAGTAATGTAAGRACATTTTTAATTATTGTAGCAAAATTACTCAAACATTAAACAAGACATTAAAGKTACTATTTTAGTAAAGCTCTAGTAATTTCATTATATTTATTTAAATTATTGCAATTGTAACAAAATTACTTTTTGAAAGTACCTAATTCCTTTGAAGTAACGTATTAGGTATTTTYAATGTTATTAAAATAATTGATAAATGTAGTATGTATGAGAAAACCTTGGAGCTAGTATATTTGAGTCAAATTATGTATCAATTGAATTTATTTTAGATTTCTTAGGTTTTATATAATATTCAATAATATTATTGAAGATCCTACAAATTAATACTTATACATTTTGTTCATATATAACGTCATTAAGTCAAACAATGTTCAGTGACAGATTTAGTAGGCGACGTGGCAATTACCCCTCCCAAGRGATATTTTTTACTTGAATTATAGCGCCATATGATAAAATGAATATGAACTTCATAAGTCATAACTATAACTTCAAACTTATAAATAAATGATACAAAAAAGATATGTTTTTAGTATTAAAATCGGAAATATGTATTCAGTGATGTCTTTGTTAGTACCTATCAATTTGTGATACCAATTCGCCCCCTCCTCAAATGATCTTCAGATCCGCTACTGATAATGTATCGCTACATCATCAATGTTATACCATACTCTGCTATACAATTTTACCATGACTCATTAGTTATTCTTATTACTAAATTTTAGAAATTATGAATTCATTTAAAGAAAAAAAGCTACTAGTAATGTCTCACTTTTTAAATAAAAAGTAATGTAACATAATAAAAAATAACATGAAAGGTGAARCGAATTTACCTAATTTTAAATAAAAATATTTAATGTAACAAGTAACATAGTTTTATTACTGTTCTTAAGTGTTTTACTCAACACTGCTTACTTATGCTTAAATATTTTAATATTTCAGAGGGGTTTGTAAAAATAATGAATAATATTATTTGGTRCATAAGTTAGTATGTGATAGGTAGTAAGTAGTATTTACCAACTGTATAAATATTCTCATGATTTCTGGTAAATTTATTTTTTTACGGTGAAACTGGGGTCTGAATTTTTAGATTAAAAATTTTTTTAATATAATGCTTATAAGTAGAGCCCGGATTTATATGCATTAAAAAAGTGTCGAATATGATGCAAATATGCAAAAAAAAAGTGGCTAAATATGCAATTATATGCATTATGTTACACTTATAAGTTATWAGTATTATGTGAAACAATCAACAAATATTCTTTATAATATTAATTGATAAAAATAAATAAATAAAACATTTTATTATGAACAAATAACGGAAACAGTGTTGTATACTATCTACGCAATAAATACTAGTGTCATATGCTATCTACAAATACTATTTATTGTCTGATGTTATCTATATAATCGTAATAATATTTATCTATATTCTACAAAGTTAGATCCCATGGGTTTTTAATGATTAGTTAATTATGCGAGTGTGTTTGTCATTTATATTATTTTCAAAATGACTTCAATTGGTGATTTATATAGACATATTATTTATACTGATGATACTTGTGTGATTTTTTTAAAACAAAAAGGTGTATTACCTACCTAAAAAATCAATAATGTTAGCAATGAAGTATGTGGTGACTTTCTCAACTAATGTTATAAAAATAGCCGCAAACGAGATTCCAATGGACAATTTGTGAAAACAAAATATTTACGTTGCCAAACTCGTGGTTGACAAACTTATCAGTCTATTCGTAAAAAAAATCTGTTTTTCACCTATGTCAATATTAATGGAAAATGTAATAGCGGATTAAGTTTATGCCAGATAGTAGAACTCGTATGGTATTAGGCACATGGTATGAAAGTACCTAAAACTATGAAATGGACAGGAAGAAGTCAACATACCGTGTCGKATTGGAAATATTTTTTAATGATATGAAAAATACTTTTCAACTTTAATTAAGAACATTCATTGATAACATTAGGTAAACGACACAATTTAAAGGTAAATAGCAATTTGTAGATAGCATATGACACCGCTACCCAAATAATAAATAATCAAAGCACCTACCTATGCTTTATTATGCATTTTTTTTCATAGGAGTTCTATGTCATACATTATGTATGACATGGGCCTCAAATGTTTTTTAAAACTCATACATTTTTAATTTACATATTGTTTATTTTATAAATTTAGAAGATCATCTGATGGAGTTGAACACTGGAAATCTATCAATTTTTATTGGAGTTTGGTAATGTACATTACTCGTAATGTACTAAGAATTTTTTTCTCTATTGCAGCATGTATAATGTTCCAAATCAGTTCATGGCTTAAAATTTTATCTGATTATCTTAAAACAACTGAAAAGGCTGAAGATTTACCTGAGAAAACTATTGAAAATAGGTACTACTAATATTGATTTTTAAATTAATTAAATAAGCTTAAACTCAAATTCTTAATAATTACTAGGTATCTTTTTTCACTTTTTATTACCTATATTATCTTAATTTATATTATTAATCTTTCAATATTAATAATAAGTATCTATATTTTTATTAATATTAACTTTATTTAGTTATCTATATGCCTATATACCTAATTAATTTTTGTACTTACTAAGATTTATACAAAATATCTCATACTTAATTTGAGTAKATACATAGTAAAATAATTTATATATTTCCTCGTATATTTCTGTATAGTTAAATATTATTATTTTGTTTAAGGTGCAATGTTAATTCTTCTTCTAATCACACCAATAAAAATGAAGAGCTAAAAGCAGTATTTAAAGTTATCAATGATACTGATAATGAATTGATCGACAAAGAGTAAGTTACTAGTACAACTATTGATATTTTAACTTCTTAGACAAGTTATTGTCAATATCAAAGTTGTTTAAGTGCAATAAAAAAAAAAATAATGAATATTCTAGAATTTTATGTTACCGTAGTTTAATGTTTAAAATCTAGAAATTTGCTATACTAAACCGGTGTGAAAAAACACATTGGGATGTTTTTAGACCATATCATTTACATGGTTCATTATCCTGGTATGGGATAATGTGGGATAATCTTAAATCGGTTTAGCCTATCAAATTTCTAGAATAATTTAATTTTTATCTTTCCTTTCAAGGTGTAATTTATATTCCAATCACATCAGCAAAAATGAAGARCAAAAAGAAGCAAATAAAGTTATTGGTATGAATGGTTTAATTGACAATGGGATTAAAAAGTAAGTTGTTAGTATTATACTAAATTCCTAAAAAGTAAATTAGCTACTGGGATTAAGTTAAACTTAGTATGGGTTTAGTTATAAACTAATATTAATTTATATAACAGACTGGTCTCTAGATAACTAAATATTTTAGAAAAACAAAAAAATAAATAAATAAATATCAGAAATTTTAACTTATTAAAGTTGACCTTTAAAATAATTCAATATTTTTYTTTACTGCAAGGTGTGATGATTATTTTATTTCTAATAAAATCAATAAAAATCAAAAATCAAAACAATTTTATAAAGTTATTGACAAGGTTATTGATGATATGGTGAATGAATTACTCGAGGAATTAATAGACAAAATCAATAAAGAGTATGTAACTATTTTGTAACTTCCTAAACAAATATTCAAGTCCAATAGGTGACTGTAATATTTTCAAAAACAATAAAACAAATTTGAATCATCAAGCATTTTCTAAGTTGACTACTTAATGTTTATGTTTCCTTAAATGTGTAATTGTCATTATTCTTTTAGTCATGAAAATCAAAATGAAGAAGACTATTGTATAAAAGTAGTAATGTCTGATACTGAAAATAAATTGTTAAACCAAGAGTAAGTTAGTTAGCTGTTAATTTGTGAGTTCAAAATCTTAGAACTTTATAATTTAGTTTTTTTTAACATACAAATATATAGTAGTAAAAATATTTTTGAGTGGCTCATACCATGACTAAATGTACAGACATCAGCTAAAAATTCATTATCATTAATATTACATATGTTCCCCAAACATGGAAAAATCAACATGACAATATCAACATATTAGTATTATAGCTTTCAGATTTTTAGTGTTTTTTCCTAGTTTGGGAACATTTCATATGCCATGTTATTTAGTTGACATGTATTTTTTTTGTTTATAGGTGCCACATAATATGCATGTTATATATATTTTTTTTTTTGATTTTTAGTTTAAAACCTTTCCAGAAAAAACAAAAATAGAGTTATAATAAAATATTTCTTCCGTATTTGCATATTTTTTAATAATTCAATGTTTTTTTCATGCAGGTATAATTATCAATCTGTTTTGGACCATAATATAGTTACAGAACAACAAATAGTAAATGGAGCTTTTACTAATATTGTAAATTACAAATTAAGCGAAGAGTAAGTTTCTTAGTTAAACAAACTAATATCCTAAGATAAATTAAAATAAGTTGATGATTTTGATGAATAAAATTGTTCTTAAACTAATTTATTTATAGATTTCATACTAATTATGTATAATATAATTTATTATGTTTAGGTCTGATTCTCAATACTATGAAAATGAACAAAAGTAAGTAACTATTAAAATATATTAGATCTAATTAAAATATTATAAGAACGTCTAATGTATTGTATTTTGGTCTCTGACTTACACATGTACGACATTCCAAATTTTTGTTCACCAGTTTCAATAGTGTGCTGTTAGTTTTGATATTAGAGCGAATGGTAGCTATTATGATATTAAAAGGCAATAAGATCCCACTTAAGCTTTTATTGTTATTATTTTTAATTAGGTTATGATCTTTTTGAAGCTATGCATTTTAAAATGATCAAAACTTAAAAAAATTTCCATAAATGTCTATGTGGAGCCATAGATGAACAAAAATAAACGAAAAGCTGCTATCTTACRTGTGCAGGCACAATGTCCTCATAAGAAAACGTTATACTTGGATCTGTTGTCTCCGTCTTACAAGTCCGTAACATCACAAATTTTATGCTTAGCAGATCACATGTAGCTCAGTAAGTTTAAAATTTAGAGTGAATTGATTTCTTATAAAAATTAAAGTAACATTATTATCGAGGGCATCTTATAGGCTGTTAATTATATTTTAATTGTAAAGCGAGTAATGAGTATTTTAAAATTGTAAATTGTTTGAATATCTTATCTTTTTGAATAATTTTTTATATTTTTGAATATCTTTGAATATGCTCATTACTCGTTTTAAAATTGAAATATTTTAGACAATAATCTTACCTTTAATTTTTATAAGAGGTCAATTCACTCTAAATTTAAACATACGGAGCATAAACGTGATCTGCTGATTATATAATTTACTATGTTATGCGCTTGTAAGATGAAGGCAACACATGTGGGTATAACGTCCTCTTAAAAAAATGGTGATTTTGTTGTTTATTTTTTTAAAAGACCTAAGTCTCAAATTCCTAGAGAATCAAGAGAAAAGTTAGTATTTTATTTATGTTTAGATATTAATGTATTTTTATATATAATTTTGTATTGAAAAAGTTTATTTTAAATAATTGTTCAAAATTTAAAATTGCCATAATTTTTATAGTTCTAATTCTGAAAACAATGTAGACAAAGTTAAAGAAGAGTGAGTGTTGATTTAACATAAACCATTTGTAAAAAATATTTTTGCTATTGTTTTCAAAATTTTAATTGTTTAAATAATTACATAAAACAGCAAATACAAGAAATAGGAGTAAAACGACCTACGTTTTGTCTCTGTTAAATGCATTAAAAATTAAAATATCTAATTTTAGGTTTTAAACGTTTCATTTTTTTATAATGTAATTTTTAAYATAAAAATGAGTTAACTTATTCAGAGGTAAGAATATTATCAGGGGTCAGTTGCATTTTTTTGATATTTTAATTGTGAAGAAATTGTATGATTTAATATTTTACAAACAATGTACTATTTTGAAATGCTCATCAATTACTTAAAACCTAAAATAACAAAAAAAAATTATCCGATACCTGATAACTCTTACCTTTAAATTGCATGATTGATTAATTTAATCTAAAATTAAAAATGAAGTAAATGGATTTTTCTGAATGTTAAATTGTTATGTTTGTGTATACATATATTTTAATAGGTATATAAAATAGTCCAATAAGAGATATCTAAAATATATCTGGTGTATCTATGACTATTCATCAACTTAATTTCTAATGAAAGATTCAAAAATTGTGTACAATTATAGACATTCTATATGCGTCTTTAATTAGTATACAAGGGATCGTAGGGGTCTGGTGTGGCACGGTTCTTGTTTATGGTTGCTAATGTATGCTACGGCMAAACATTGTCTGCTATTGCTAGTTCTCGGATGTATGACCACCCGGGTTTTTAGTGATAAATTTTTATCTCGCATACCCTCATGTTGCTAAACCCTCTTCCCCCACAAAATTCTTATGCTGTGAATCCAACCTATGCGACGAAAAACAAAACAGTTTGTATTTTGTCGCATCGGACGCATTGTGTTGCGATAGAACAGCATGGTCAGAATAGAATTCGTTCGCACGAGTCGCACTAGTCAGATTCACGTAGGACATGGCGTTATGGTCATAGTTTCCGATACTTCCTAAACCTTATAAAAATAAATATTGTAAACATTGTCGACTTCACAACATAGACATCGCATGAATTATGTATATTTGCCGAGTATAAATTAATTTAATTTACGTTTGTGTTATGTACCTAATTTTTGAGATTAAAATATTAAATTAAATCCTCTTAAGTTTTGTTATTATTTATTATTTTTTAGAATTATTACTTGCGAGGACATTGGATCTGCAAGAGTTAGAAAAAAACATCCTATCAAAAATACTGCAATGTTATTAATAACTAAAACAATGAATGAAAACAAATTAAAGGACAAACAATTCAAGTTAGAAAACAAATTGAATAAAGACAAGTAAATGAGTATATTAATAATGCTATTGTATTACCTATGTTTAAGGAGCGCAAAATATACAAATAATTTTTTTATTTTGAAAAAATGTTCAATTCTATGAAAAATTTTAAAGTATTTATTTCTATTCGCGCTATTTAATAAGTTATGAGGAATTTAAAAAAGACAAGTGACATAATTGTGCTAGACAAGCCATAATTGCTTTGCTTCACACAATAACTACCTTACTTTTAAATTATAAATTTTGTGTAATGACTAATGATCATGCTGTGTTGTGTTTTTATTTATAACAACTGTGGAACCAGAATGTGTTTTGTGTTTAGCTTTTTAAAATATTTAATATCTTCAATAATTTTTTGTAACTTACACTTTGTTACTGCAATCATTTTTTGTAACACAACATGGCATAACTGGCTGTTATCTTAGTACCTTTAATACATAAAAAAAAAAATTAAACAATATGTTGAAATTCTGATACTTTTATTGTTTTAATCTCAAAAAAAGTTACACATTTATGTTTAAATCCTACTAGAAAATACATTTTTAAATAAGTGCATTATTGTGTGAAATAAACTACTTCTAAACATTTAAATAGGCAGTTATATCAAATCTAGCCCTATGATGTTCTAATCATTTTATATACTCAAATATCTCTTTGCTTAATATATATTTTTTGCATTGAATTTTAACAAAATTATTTTTAAATAGTTCTATCTAAAAATAAAGGTAAGATTATTATCTAGAGCAATGCTTATCAACCTGGGGCTGTGGCTATATGGCTAAAGAGGCTTTGAAATATTTATTTCATTTAAAATATTTTTGGTTATTTAGTTATATTGCAACCAACCATATGATAAATCATTGTCAATAAAGTCTAATGTTAGATTACTGTTATAAAATTATAATAAAATTGTTAGGGGGGCCTTGACAATTTTACATTAAATTTAATGGGCCYTACACAAACAAGGTTGAGTAGACTCTAGATTCTTGAGCATCTTTTTTTAATTTCATAGAAATTAGATTAGTTATTAATTTTTAAAATCTAGAAGCATTTGTTTTTGTTTAATTTAAAGTACTTAGAGGATGTCAGTGCACCATTTGTTTTATTTCTGACCTACTTGCAATATCAAATTTATGCTTAGCAGAACCAACCTTGTATTATTACTTTTAATACAAGAGTGAATGTGCCTGTGTCTCTACTGTAATAATTTACATGCTCTTAACTAATATAAATATTAAAATATCATAAATCATAATATAGCCAATGTTGGGACAGATATTTTCACATATATGTTGATATGTTCTCTATGTTAATGATTTATGAAAATAACTATACATAGAATCTSGACTATATTTAATGAATTATGTTTTTATTTTTGTTATTGTTTATGATTAAAAAATATTTTCTAGGATTGCAAAAAATAACATTGACCACTGTGAAATGGATGATGGCAGAAATCCGATTACAAAGACTCAAATGTAAGTACCTACCATCATATTTAATAATATTCAGAACAGTCAAATTTATTTTCCTTTTGAGTTTTCAAATAAATAAATTCTTTGTTATGTATACAMTTTGATTTATAACCTAAAACAGGGCGAGTTCATAATTATTTCAATTAGTTAAAATTAAGTTACTTTAATACAAATTCAAACTAAGTTAGAATCCAAGATAGTTCCTAAAATTCTCCATATTTCTAACTCGGTTAGTTTTGTAAAATTAGTAACTTGAGTCAAAGAAGAAGTTAGAAGTTGGTTTTTTTAATATTTAAATATAAATTAAAAACACTGGTTTAAAATGTGTTAAGTATTACATAAATTAATTACTCAGTGGGTAAGCATCTAATTTAAATTATTGATGACTTGACTAAAAATAATTTGATGAAATATCTCAACTTTTAAGTAAGTAGGTAATAATATTTAGAAATTAATTGGAATATATAAACAATATGGTATTATAATATGTATATATATTGGGGGCCATCATAATTATTTTAGGCTTCGTGGTTAACACATATTAGAAGAGATAGGTGTACAACTTATATAAATAATTAATTATCAATAGTTTGACTAAGAAAATGTTTTTATCATATAATTGAAAATACTAAGTGTTATTGAAAAATTATTATGATTTTTTTGTGTCCGTCATCATGTTTTGGATTAGAAATAGTGCTTTGTTTTTTATTTCAGCCCCTCTCTGAAAAGGAAAATTCTTCTAGTTGGAACTTTGGGGGGTTAAAAATATGAAGTTTTCAGTAGTTTTCAAAAACGWCAGGAAAACCCCTAAAAAGTAACAAAAAAACGGGAATTTTTACTCATGATCAGTTTTTGACGAATTTTATTTATTTTTTATTTTGCTGTAACTCAAAAACAAATGATTGTACATACTTGAAATCGTCTCCAATATTTATATTAGCATTTACTATTAAATTTTAAAAATATAATGGATATGTCAAAATTGAACTCAATGATATAAAAACAATGTATAGCAAAGATATGGTTTATCCACTATATTATAACATTATTCTAAATTACACAAAAAAAACTAAAAACATTCTCTATTAAAATATTTAATTTTGTCAAGATTTTGACCTAAAATATCTATTTAAAAAGATAATGTTTGTATAGTGTATCTATTTATGAGAATACTTCTATACAATTCGAAATAATATAATCCTTAGCTATTAAAATTTAACATTTAATGAATTTCCTCAAAATTTAAACTTTAAATACTTATATAAAAAACGTATATATATTTCTTAAATATTTTTTATCCATTACATCATGCTATTATAACAACATATTGTTTGATAAGAAATTATTAATTTAATTAATTTACATGTAAAAATATTCAATGTAAATTTTCAATTTCAAATACTCATAAAACTGTGTTTGACTTTCCTTCAAACTTTTTTTTTTGTAAAATGTAAAAAAACTTTTTATTGAATTTCCAAAGATTTTGGTTGAGTGAATAGTTTTTTTTATCAACAATGATACTAAAATAAACTAATCAAAATCAAAATTTTCTTATTCTTATAAATAGCTCAAAAAAATCAAAATATTCTGAAAATTACACATATCTATGGGKTTTTTTTTTTAGATTTACACTAAACCAAAATTGATTTTGTGTAAGAATTCCRATTTWTTCTTAGTTTTTTTTTCTTTTTTTTCTTTTTGAATGCATCTACTAGATTCACTTTTCCACCAGAAAAGTTCCTTAGTTAAAAATTTGATCATGTGACTGCTCGTGCCTAGGTGTGCATAATTTTAAAAAGCTGGTAAGTCGTGGATGTCGCTCTGTTGTACAGTAGGTTACTGTAATGAGTGTAATGAATGGGATTAAATTTGAATGCAATGATAGGTATCATTGTATACGAAAAACGATTCTGAACGGAGATGATTTGTCAGTCTAGGATATATTATATTTAAATATTGTCA